GCCTTCCCCCTAGTCTTACACTGACTAAATTAAGGACGGCTAGCACAGATGGCCCTCGTGTAGGTTTGCACGATATTCAAAACAAACAAACAAACTTATAACGCTAAAACTTGGGTTTCGATACTCGTGGTAGGCACAGCACAAACATTCCATTGTGTAGGTTTGTACATAAAAAAACTAAAAAACCATGTCACGTTTATGCAAGTTTAAACATTTACTCATATGTACGTTTTATTGAAAAGCGTTTGATACTGTATATGATGTTTCTATCCATGTCACTTTATTGTTAAATGTGGTTATTCCCATATTCCTATAATTCATGCATTTTATTTTTCCTCATCGCTAACAGTTATATTTATTGATATTGCAAGTCTAAGGTAGTTTTCAGTATGTGGTGCATATATATCCTCCTTTTATTGTTAGTGAAGTGTTCCTGCCGTCTCTTCCTTCTGTTGGTAAGATGTGTCAGCTGTATTCTTCTTACAGTTAATGAGATGCCCCCGAGTCTTTTGTTCTGCTTAGAAATGGTGAGGTGGAACGGCACTCATCTCTATACGGTGGATGAGGTGTATTTTTCATTAAGCCTGAAGACCCGTACTTCCCGTCGTCTTTTTATAGTTTATGTATGATACGTATTTTGTTGTAATGGTTTCTGGGGTGTATTTATTGTCAGTATTTGAAATTTATGATGTGTGTGTAATCGTTCTTTTCTTATCAACAACAACAAAAACCCGTCGAGACTTTTCTATGATCGTTAAGTGTTCATTTTATCGCTTGATTATTATTATTGAAGTTTGTCTTTTCAGCCCTTATTCTGTTGGATAATCAGTTACATCTTCCGTATCTTCTTATGATTGGTTAAATGTGTCTGCTTTCCTGTTTTTCTATCTTTTTAAATAGCAGTATGTGTGGTATGTGGATAATGCTTTTCATAATTTAATGTCACGACAGTTATTCTGGGTAGCGACGTGTGGCGGAGAAAAAAGTGCTATTTGTACTCGTAATGAACTATTTGAGAGCATTGTAAGAACAAGAAATATTAACACTCTAGTGTTATTTTATCATTGAAATGTGGCTTTGCTTATTAAATAATGTTTGTTAATCATATGTATATAGCCTAATGGTTTATAATATGATATTTTACCAGACTGTACTTCTATCCGTTTTCACTCATATGCAATCATCCCAACCTCTTCAAGAACTGTTCACATCAATATTAGATCTCTAGAAGAATTAAACTACACGATGTTGAATTGTGAAGTATTTGACAAGGAGAATAATTCTTACGTGAGTATTTCTTATCAATAACGATTTTGTTAGATTGAAGTTGTGCAAGATTTTTCTGTCTCATGCCAATGATGTTATTGTACATAGTAAACATTGACGTCTCATTTATTGACAATATACCTTTCTTTTAGAATGCATTACTTGTGTGTGTATATTAGGGCACTCAGATACAGAAATAGTAATAATGCATGTTGAATTGATAAACCAACTGTCTAGTAAGAAGATATTTTATGAATTTATATTTAATTAATGCTGATTGTCATTCATGATATGAGACAAATTAACGTTGCATACTACGTGGAACATTTGTAATTAATAAACCTACAACTTTGGGAAATAGTGTTTATTAATTAATGGTACGTTACCTATCCAGTTGTACTTAAAGACAGTGTTATTCTTCACTGTAGTTGACAATGATGGTTTTATTTTGAAAGCGAAAATAAAGCTTCAACTTGTTTTTCTACATATCTAATTATAGTTAGACTGAAGTTTGAATTTACTTCGTAAGACACACTGCACACTGTTTAATGTACTTTTTGAGCATATAACAACGCTTGTTTTGTAAAACTTTACTACGCTTTACTGTTAAGAATTTTCTGACATTGTGATATGTTGACGATTTTGCTTCTTATTGAAAACATTTGGTGGACTGGTTTTCAGGCTATAAGCTGGACTGACAAAATATTAGTCCACCAACCATAAGTGTGAGTTAAAAGGATGGATCATCTAGACGAAATAGTATTGTACATAATATAGACTCAACAGAGGAAATAGTATTGTACATAATATAGACTCAACAGAGGAAATAGTATTGTACATGATATAGACTCAACAGAGGAAATAGTATTGTACATGATATAGACTCAACAGAGGAAATAGTATTGTACATGATATAGACTTAACAGAGGAAATAGTATTGTACATGATATAGACTCAACAGAGGAAATAGTATTGTACATGATATAGACTCAACAGAGGAAATAGTACCGTACATGATATAGACTCAATAGAGGAAATAGTGTCGTACATGATATAGACTCAACAGTGTTATAGATTATCACTTTATGCTACACATCTGTTCACCGCTATTAGTCATGATAAAACAGTTTTATGTTATGTAACGCTAAATGACAAATGAGCGAGGTAAAGGTACATATTTCAATATCGTACATTATCTAAGTTCATCCTTAAAGCCTAAAACGATGATTTAATATTATAATGTTCTTTTTTCTCAATAATAATTAAAATTACTATTACAAAATGTCTTACTCAGTAAGTTCCGATCTGTTTAATTCAGAAACCATGTGCAGATTATGTAATATTCTATGGTCTTCCATATCCAAACTTATAAACTTTCAGTTTCACCCGAGGATTTGATAAATTACTGGCTTAAAAGTGGCCATGTAGGCGGCGAGTATTGTTGGTCCCTCAGATCATAGGTGCTAAATAAGGATGGCTATGCCTGAACCTCAGAGCCTCTGTCCTGGTCGTTAAGCCCACATGTAGCACAAAAGACCGTTGAGATTGAGAATACAGAATACCAGAAACAACATTCACTGGATAAAAAAGTCAACGATCAAGTTGTCAAGTTGTTTAATTATGTTATTTATGATTATCTAAACTGTTTGAAGCTTTTAGTTCAAAGTCAATCCACTTTGGAAAGTGTTTTCATGTTTTCGAGTTACTCTGAGTAAAGAACAAACAACAATATGTATAGTAAAATAAATGGCATAACATGTGGTTAAAAGTTTTATATTGAATGTAGGATCTTAAAACCTGTATATATACATAAACTGTTTTAACCTAGTATTTTCTTGCGCGACTATTTATTCACATTATACTGGTATTTTACGGAAACTACAAATATTTCATTAAATTACTAATGTCTCCAAAATAACATAATTTTTTAGTGTAAGGAGTTTCATAAAACTCGATTTTTCTGAGTTTCTTATTAACAGAAGTTCAAGTTTTGCTATCAAGACTAGTTTGTACATGCTATATGTGATTATTGAAAGGTGTATAGTTTTGGTCAAAGGATGCTCACCAAACTATAAGCTTAGGTGGAAAATACTTAATAATGCAATTATATAGTTTTAAATGCCGTAATTCAGAGTAATATATATAAACAGAGTTTAGAAATGTTCAGAAAGAAATACGGTTTTCTTTATCATTCGCTGGAATGAGTAAATAGCGACCGAATATGATTGTGTTAATAGGTCGTTATCTGTTCGTTGTTAACAGCACCATATGTTATGTGTTTCCACAATAGATGTGGTGTAATGCTATTACCACACGACGACCGTGAGTAACATTAACACTTGAACACCTTAATCTAATTATCAACAAAGTGAAAGGTGTCGGACTTGTTAAAGTTCCACAACCGATTTCTTTCGCCATTGTGTTCTAGTATCAAGTTGCGGGATTTCCCTCTTGTGACGCGATAATGCAAAGCACATATTGCTTGTTTTATAACAACCGTATTTGAAACGCATGGTTAGTTCTTTCTGACACTGTGTACATTTCTGTCTGAGCATCTTGTAAGTTACATGCATTTTGGTTTTGTGCAATATATTATGCGTGATCAATACTTCCAGACAACTGATAGTCTTAAAGTGCTTATACGCTATTGGATTTCATAATACCGCACGTTCATTTTATCAGATTGGTAAGATAAAACTCATTGAACAATGGAGCAAATGGTTCGTACTTATCAGACAGTATTGAGAAAATATGTCTCGTTGCTTTTATACTTGGCACTATTGATGTTCATGTGTTAGTTTTAATATGATGTGGCTGTTGTACAGAAAGTAAAATCTTGTTTCTTACCAAATATTCCTCATATTTATGCTGTTTTGGGGCTTAAGTTGTATTCAACCTCCATTTATGTAGTTTTCCAATTGTGACCTAAAATTCGGTATTACGTGGATTATTATTTGATATGGCTCAAAACATAAACAAAAACCTAACTCATGTGTAACAGTGCTAAGTTCCATATTTCACATACGTGACAGTTATAACTTTGTAAACACAGAATGATAGATAATTACATGGAATAAAGAAAAACAAGTCTAGTTGTAAAGTTACACCAGTGGTGCTTATTTTGTATCGACGCATCTTCAAAAAATAATTGCATTCTCAAAACTTATCAATAAATTTATGATCCTAAGGTGGCTACATAAGATATGAGCTACGATTGGTACTCACATTGAGTGAAACCATTATATTTTGTCACTCCACCAGTCTTCAGAAAGAGTCCCATCTGCCTTCTTTTATTTCGTGTTTGTCTGTGTTTTGGCATATGGGTCTCTTGTATTAATGCAAATTCTTTTGGTGTGGCGGCATTCTTGTATCATGTTTATTGCGTGTGTATGTGATTGCCATGTGTTGTAAGTAGTATGTTGTTTGTGTTTGGGAACAGCCAGCTCTACAGCTTTGGAAAGGCACTCAGGGATTGTTTAACAGTATACATTGTCTATCAAGTTTGCTTTTTTATAGCTGAATTTTGGTTTATAGGTGGATTTATCATGATGGAGATCAAGATCTAAGACACACCAGATGGTTAGATGATCCTTATCTAGATCTTAACCTACACTGAAGCTTTTACTCTTTTGGGTAAGACCTGGCAAGTACTGACATAGATCCAGAATATCGCTGGTGTTATGTGAGAAGCTTGTGTGTATAGGTTTTTTCCAGGAAGTTATGTAGCTTATTTCCATTTAGAGTTGTTCTTTCACGTCCAAATGCTACATATATGCTATTAAGGTTGCCTATTATTATAAAGTTATTATTACGGTCATGTATTTTAGTGTATTTCATTCTGTATTCATCATTCTTATAGGCGAGCAATAGAGACCATCTATTGTAAGACGTTTATTGTTTATTAGTTGGACATCAACTATAATACATTCGTTTCTTTTATCGACTCTGTTACCTGTGTAAAAGATAGAGATGAGTTACATGCTAAGGCTATATCCCAGCTTTGATCATCTTTGTTCGATCTGCCCACTCTGATCGTTGAGTATCTATAGATACTAAATTCAATAAACATGGTTTATGTAATGACCACTATGTCTATGTTAATGTGTCTGATTATGTCTTCGATCTCATGCCTCTTGGAAGCAAGTCCATCTTGGATATTCACATGTAGTACAGTGAAGTTAAGTGAAAAGGGAGTCCATGAGTGATTGCATTATGTTCGAAAAGAGTAGTTTGAAGTATTTTTCACTATCATAATGAGCCGTGTGATGCAATCTGTTGATTTATCTGGGTTTTAATATTCGTTTATGAATTCGGTGATGGTGTTTTTGGCTGCTTCAGCTAAAGTAGTGTTGTCCGTGTTTGTATTTGCGAACGATCCAGCTTGCACTTGTGTTTGGTAATCATGCTCGACTGAGTTTCTGTAATTATTTTCGTTTGGGGCTGAGTTTACTTGGTAATGTGTGTGCTCTATTTGTTGGGTATTGTCGCACGTACTGGAGCGGCATATGTATGTGTGGTTCGCGTTTGAGTTTTTGATGTTGGCAGAATTGATGTTTTAATCACTGATGTTGCTAGGTGTTGTATGAGGTTTGTGTTTCTGTTGGTTTTCTTTGGATTTATTTGGATAATGTATGCTGCATATGCGTGTTTTAATCCCTCTGTATTTTAAGCAACCCTTGTAGTTTGATGTGTGTTGTTGTTTACAGTTGTAACGATATAGATTTGATGTTCTCTTGGACATTGTCAGTTGTGATGGTCACTGCCACAGCCCACACCGAGTGGAAGATGGCGTTTTCGCTTCTTCATCCTGAAATATCTGATACCAGAAGATAATACCATCTGATATCAGGCTTTGGATATCCTATGACTCGTCAGAGGATAATACCATCTGATACCATCGTGTGTATAGATCTGAGGTATGTTTGTAGGTTTTTGTATTCTACTAGATATGATACGTTCTACTTTTGTAAATGAGATGTTGTTTTAGGTCAGTTCAGGCCTGACCTGCTCTACATATGTGTTATAGTGGACTCCTCTTATCACAAAGATTTTATTATTTGGTTTTGTTCCTGGTAGGTGAATGGTCCCGGTTTAAAAGCGTTTGAGACCATTCCTTAAGTAGGCTATTAAGGTCAGTCACTTCCGCTCTGTTAACTAGGACTTATCCCACACTAGTCATTTAATTGCAGTAATTTGAACATTTGGTTTGCAGTTTTGAATTTTTGGTTCCTTGTATGAGCATGGGATCCATTCGATGAAAACTATAAGTTTGGGTGGTTGCGTTTTTTTTTGTCCTATTTACTATCTGTGTTGGCCGATAGTTTTCTTTGTCTTTTAGATGTAACCAACGTAAACTCATCGGTTTCTGTGTGTGTTTGTATGACAGACTAGAAGGAACGATTTTGTTTCTTTGTAGTTAAGCATAAAGCCACACAAAGGCCCACCACGGGTACCGAAACCCGGTTTCTAGCATTGTAAGTCCGCAGACATACCGCTGTGCCATTGGGGGGGGGGGGCACCTGGAGAGGAGATGAGAGCTGCCAGGTAAATCTAATCGAGAATCTCCGAGAATGCATCAGCATCTAATCGGCTTCAGGACTCCAAAAGAAACAAAAAGAAAACAACAAAATCATTGCTGTTTAATGGGGAATTCACATGAAAGAACCTAATCCTGCACTAGTTGATAATTCATCAAAATGCTTTATAATTAGTTATCGTACAATATAAGTTCAAAATAAATCTGGATTTTAAAAATGACACTAAATCAGGCCCGTACGCAGTATGTTTGAAAGAGGTTTCTAATTTGTGATATCAAAAACCAACACATTATACGAAGCAAAATCATGTTAAAGCTACGGGGGTCTGAAGGTATGCGTCTCCCAGAAAATTTGTAAAGAGTAAGTGTTATGAGATTAAATCTGGAAGCAATTATGCATGAATTATAGCTTAAACAATTGCTTGGTTATTCATAATAAAATCCACAAACATCCAATGAAAAGTCAAGAAATCATCATTCTGTTGTAACACTGCATGGGGAGTTACACTTAAATTGGCATAAATATGTATGTTTTGTTATAGTAAAGTACTCTATTATCTGCATGTAGAGTAATTATTAATTGTTAAATTATATTACTAATTTAAACAACTCTGTATAACAATAGTATATCAGCTATTTCAGTCATTGGCTGTCATATATGTATATGTATGCACTACTGAAATAACATGGTAGCATGCTCTATTCTTCTGGGATGCTTGTCTACAAATAACTTACATACAGTTTTAATGTTGATAGCAGAGTCATAATGATTACATATTAAAGCTAGAGCACTCAGTCTTTCTTTGACCTCAGGTAATTATTCAACCGGTGGAGAGCAGATGCCAAATGTACACATGAGCATGAACTCAGTGGCAGTATTTTTTTTTACATCATAAAATTAGGGGGTTCGGCCAAACCCGTAAATAATAACACAACAAAGCGCTACGGACTGAAGTAACTGCATACCAGATAATAGCAGAATAGGAACTAATGAGATGATTATGCAAAAAATACAGCTCAACTTTTGGCATTTGTATCTGTCTAGAACAATAAATTCATTTTCCTGTTCGTTATTCTACACTGTTTATGTATATATTGGTATTCGCTCTATTGTTGCAGCACGAACATTAATTCAAGTATTGTGAATTACAGCCTAAAAGTTTCAGTTCAGCTTAATTCTGCCTGTAATTATTTGTTTAGTGGTGTGACTCCTATGGTAACGGAATAATGTCGAGAAACGGTAGTTTCGATTACTATGGTTACCATGTGCATGTCATAGAGCAGTCTCCCACAGACAAATAGTACATTTTGTTTGTTTTAATTCAAAGCCACACATTGCGCTATCTACTCTCTGTCTATCGCGGGGAATGAAACACTGGACTTTTGCGTTGTAAACTCAACGATGACCCCCTCCCCCCGGGGAACCTATAAATATATGCGATAATATATTCTATTGTATTAAGACATATCTATATGGCATAATTGATGTTGCAATGTCAGTTACGAATTATTTCATGTGCGTTGAGACAGAAGCGTGAATGACATATACAGATAATGCATTTGTTCAGGATATTGGAGCGAAGTCGAACTGTGATTGTTATCTTTTAGAATAAGATAGTGTTACCCTATATTTTCATTGATGTTGGTAGAAATTGCATAATTTCTCTTCAGGTACATTGTGCAACTATATGAAGAGTGAAAAACACAAAAACCAACAATTTTTGCTTTTAAAAATTACCTGTTTGGGTTTTAGAAGTGAAATATTCATAAGCTTACATATTTGTTTTTACTGTTGAGATGAAAGTAACTGGTTGGCTTGCACTAAGACAAGGGAAACCATGATGATACCCAATGTTTTCATTGAGACTGCTGATATATATATGTTAAATTGGTAGAAGTGAAATGTTGTTTGAATTGAAATAGTTCATAGCTTACAGTTCTGCTAAATATTTCCATAACATTTATTTTCTGTAGAAACTTCGAACTGAACACGTTTTAATGTGGGGTGTAGTTGTGTAATTTCAGGCATGTAATATAACATCTTTATGAAATTGCTTGTAATTGCTTGTAATAATAGGTTTCCAAAGTCAGGAGGCAATGGTCAGCGACTGTGAGATGACAGAGAGATTTCAGTTCTTCAAGTAGGAACATAACTCTAGCAGCTATTACCCTTTTCCCCAATGAATATGGTTTTTATTTTTAACAACTAAACAATGGTGCAATGGATCCAAATTATATTGTTAACAACCAGACAATGGTGCAATGGACCAAAGTTCTGCTATTAGAAATCAGACAATGGTTTAATAAACCAGAGTTCTACCGTTAACAACCAGACAATGGTACAACGGACAGAGTTCTGTTTTTAACAACCAGTCAGTAGCGAGAGAACTCACATGCGTGTAAGTGGTAACTATAGTAGCTTGCAGAAATTACCATAGCTAGGAAATTACTTAAGAGGGAGTGTAGCAGCTTGGACATGGAGTTTCAATATATAAGCTGTAGGACTGGAATAATTTTCTAGATTAATAGTATGCGTCCATTATATTCAAATATGCTTATAGAATTAGCATTTGATTCGTTAGGTGTTTTCACTTCTTATGTCTAAATTTTTTTCTTGAGAAAATTGAACTGTAACTGTCCAGATTGCAACTTTCGATCATACGTTGCTGAATGAACTTCTGACACCTGAGAGGTCAAGCTGACCAACCACTTCAATCCTGATTTTTGCTGTATAAGATCAAGTTCATGTATTCTCTAAATAACTTGTTCTTTTAATGTCACTTGTTAGAGATTACACTGCTCGGTTTCTCACTGATTATTCAGATTTTTGAGATTCCTAAAACTCTAGAAGCTATACTAAGGTTAATTTTTACTGTAGGATAGCCAATCAATGAATTTTTCCTATTTATGAAGACCATCCAGTATGTAGCCTCCGATCCCATATCTATAACGACAGAACTTTCAACCTTTTCTTTAGCCTACCCACGGATGCCTCTGAACTAGGCCAGGCAACTGAACTGTCATCAATCACTAAGAAACACGCATCACCAGCAGAAAGTAGAAAAACGCCATTACATTAACTTAAAGTGTTCTACCACGGGATTTACGAAAATACATAAACATAGGAATGATATCTACATGAACTTCCGGCTGTTCACAGAGTCCCAGAACCATAAAACAAGATATTCCCTGAGGAGAAATATATTACTATACCCTTTAAAATGAGATGTTATTTTGTGTAGAAAGAAAATATCATATTATAACAATGACAATATAATGTGATTTGAACTCTTGAAAAAAATTTACTTTCATATTTTATTATTATATTTATATATTCATAAACTAAATAACTAATCTATTTGTTTTCAGACTGAGAATATTTCTGTGAAGGAGCTTTGGTCTCATCAAAGAGGTTCCTACTCCCGGATATTCTTTTACAAATCAAAGCTTACAGTGAAATATCATTTGCTGGATTATATGTTCTTTTTGGTTTATTGCGAGATGAACATAAATTTAACAACAGGAATTCATCGGGTCACTGATCAACAGCTTTTTGTCTGGGATACCGAAATGTTTGTGGTTACGAACATAACACCATCTACAATAAACATCAATGAAAATGTGAAGGTAATTATTATTAACTTGTGAACTGTAACTTTAAAAAACGTCAAATAAACTATATCAATTAAGACATTTTTAGTGTAACCAGATATTCTAATTTCAGAATAGTCTGGTATAATATAAAGTAAGAAACTAATCATTAGAGTAAGGGGAAAATGGACATTGTATTATGTAGAATGTAAACCAGTTATTTGGTTTACAAGTTGTAATGTGCTTCTACGATACATAGTGATAATAGTGTGGAGGTAAGCGATGGTTTCTATGTTAGAACAACAGTATATAAGAGGTACATAACCTATAAATTATAGTGTAGTTATAACTGAATGTTTTCATGTTGGAACAGAAGTTAACAAATGTTATCATTACAAACAATTCCTTCTACATTATATAGTATATTACAAAAACATTTGGACAGCAGTCCATCCAGCCAATAATTGGATTTGCCAGAGAAGCACTTGGTAGATTGCTGTTTACGGTTTATGAATGTCATTAGTTGTCATAACGATGAAGATCAATCAATCATATTTTATTAAAACATGTGCCCCCCAGTGGCACAGCGGTATGTCTACGGACTTACAACGCTAGAATTCGGGTTTCGATACCCGTGGTAGGCAGAGCACAGATAGCTCATTGTGTAGCTTTGTGCTTAATTATAAAAACAAACAAACAAAACAAACAAATTAAAACATGTACCGTTTGTTTATCTAACCAATCCGGTAAATTCATATAAAATGCGCTATTCTGATACCAAACTCATAAAAACACTCGGCCAATCTAACAAGTCGTATTCACAATGAGTCTTTGGAAAACAAACGAAAAAATAAGTTATAAATAACTATTATTAATATATAACTGCTGCTATTTTTCTAGAAGAGGAACTTATAAACTACGAAACAATTTTAATTGTCCACAGTTTGCCCTGAAGTGGATGTATGTTTATGAGGATCAGAAATATGACAGTTAAAAATCAAAACAGAACTTCAGAATTCTTTAGCCTACTCTCAGCAATTCGTAAAGGATCAGTTATAATATTTTTGTTATATAATTGTTGTATAAATGACATACCTCACGAACTGCAGTTAAATTCTAACATTGAGCTATTCTATTACGATGAGTATATTAATCTCTGGGTAAAACAAAATATGCAACATTTATGGGATATAGGAGTTTATTGGGGTGATATATCGTAGGTGAACTTAAACTACATCAAATGTAGTTTGTACATGTCAGGTGGCCAGAATTAACCAGCATGACGTCAGGGAAGAGATTTCATTATTTGTCATGGTTAGTAGCCTGTATGATTACCTAAATCTAATCATTAATTAGGTACTATTTTTATACTATATACTAATTAGTCTTTATCTTATATATCGGCTGCTAACTTTCTGCTGTCTTAAGGAAAGTCGTGAGAAGGACAGTTTGCTAGTGTTAGAAAGGCTGGTGTCCACTATTCTGGTGTCTTCTCCGTTGGGACTTGAATAAACTGTTTGAATGATTTTGAGAAAGGGTATCCAGGGTTTTCTGACTACTGCACTGGGCTGATTGAGTGTATTATTAGTTAGCTGGGGCCCCCCAGTGGCACAGCAGTATGTCTGCGGACTTACAACGCTAGAATCTGAGTTTCGATACCCGTGGTGGGCAGAGCACAGATAGCCCATTGTGTAGCTTTGTGCTTAATTACAAACAAATACAAATAATTAGATGGGTGTAGAAAACTTTTTTGTCTTTCTTTTACGCGTATGATTCATATTCCATTGTTTCAGTATTATTACATTTTCTTATACGGTCTTTTAGTCTAACAATATAGGCTATTGCAATATTTTAGTCTGATATGTTTGTTATGACCTGAATTCTGTCTTCTCTTGGTCTGTTTGTTTCTCCAGTCCATATTCATAAGGGATGTTGTAAATGGTGTATTTTCGCTTTCCATTGGATTTTAAGTGGTTTAGAGAATGATTGTAATCATATTGTGTAGTGTCTTTTGAATACCATTCTGACTTTATGCTATTTGAATATAGTCTATATTTCCGAGAAGTTCTTTTACATAGAGTATAAGGCATTTTTTATAACTTTCTTTCTGATTATTTTGATGTTTATGTTGTTTATCAGTTTTTAACAGCATCTATTTTCAAGGAGGTATATAGTGATGTGTTTTTATTCATTCTTCTTAGTTTTTTTGTGTTACAAATCTCGTTCATTCTGGAGACTAGGAAGTCTATGGGGTGGTTTCACTTGTGTCACTTTATCAGCGGTTGGTCATTGTGTGCAAATTGGGAGGGTCAGGTTCACTCGGACCTCTTTCTCCTTCCTTTACTGTTGTTTATGACCTTCCAAATGCTATATGGTTATTCAAGAAATTGATTAATACTAGTGTAAGACATTGTATTGGAACATTGATTTTATTTCCCTCGTAAGAGCCATGTCCATGAATACACTATCTATTTTACTGTTTCTTTTAACTTGTTTGTATATAACTCGCAAACAGTTCCATAGGAAAACGTCACTGTTTCATTTGAAATAATTACCAATCGTGTATTTCACATATAAAAAAACCCTTTTAAATACGCAAATGATACTTAATTCTAAGCGATATGTTTATATCTAGCGTAGGTGGTCTTTGTTCTTATAGTAAGACTTTGGTAGGGAGAGGTATTTAGAGTTATTAATATCATCTATGATATAGAGATCTATTGCGATTAATGAGTCATTTTTATATAAGTTTTTATTAAAGTAACGGAACGAGCAATCTACGAATCTGTCTTTAACTAATTTGATGTTTGCATAGTTACGCATAAAATTTGTATTTGTTGATCTTAGTACTCTGTAGGCCGTGGTGATTGTTCTACCCTGTATGGTCTGTCGGTGCTGCGTTAGTCCAGACAGGACAGGCATATTCCATAACTGGTCTAATGTATTGTTTGTTCACTTTGATAATGTTTTCTGGTGTGTTTTTGCCTGTTAATCTCTTAATGTAGTTTTCTCGTTGCCATACTGTATTCTCAATCTGGGAAATATGTTTATTCCACGTTTATTGTGAATCATAAGTTATACCTAAAATTTTTGCCGGTGGTACAACATTTAGAAGATCTCCATTTAAGTATAATTCAGGAGGATTTCTTAATGTTTTGATTGACTTTCAAAAAAGAACTAGTTTGTTTTAGGAACATTTATTTTATACTATGTTTTAGTCGGTATTCAACAGTTTGATTCAGAAAGTGGTATAAATATGTAGCTGTAATCGAAGGAGTAGAAGAAATCTTCCAAATTGCTACATCGTCTGCAAATTGTGATGTTAAGCTAAAATCTAGGTCATTTAAGGCATATCGCTTATATACATGATGAAGAGGATTGGACTAACTACCTCTTCTTGTGGAACACCAGCCTCGGCAGTAAAAATACTCCCAGTAGGTGCCTGATACATTTACTCTGCATTTCCTATTTTTTAATAAGTTAGACAAGTAACGAATAACACCTGTTGATAATTCTAATTGTTGTAATTGACATATTAAACCGTTATGCTTTCTCTATATTAAAACTATCTATTATGGTTTCAATTAACCTAACCAAATGATATGTTGTTTGCCGAAATTTTCGGAAACCATTTTGAACTTTGGGTAATTGTGATGTGATCTCTAGAAAAGTGGAGACCTTATTACTATTAATTCTTTCTAAAATTTCGCCGACACAACTAGTCAGACTGATTAGTCGGTAGCTTCCTGGTTTGCCTTCCATTAGAAATATCAGAACATTTTCCTGCTTCCAAGAGGCTTGGATGTAACCAGAATTGAGGGACAAATTATATAGCGCTGTTAATTGTGAAACAGTTTCTGAGTACATTTTTATTTAGGAGAATGGTTTGTATTCCACCTTCACTAGGGGGTTATTTTTGGTTTGATTTACAAATATAATTACTTCTGATTTTGTTCTTGTCTGTGTTATTAGCCGTGGTATAGCGGCTCATAGAATGGCTCTGAGTTTTTCAAGTACAAACCTTTAGCTCATAGCTCCGTCATCTCTTGACCAATTTGAGATATAATTACAGTTTCGGTTGATGTATTGGACCATGCCCAAAGTCTCATAGATTAATATACTCTAATCATGCCTAAAATAATTTCAATTTTAGGGTAGGCTTGTAAAGATCCCGATGAGTAATAAAATCGAATCGGGTATATGCGCGCCCCATGCTTGGTATTGCTGTCACACACACACACAATATATATATATATATAGCTAATAAAAAGGAAAAAGGTCTCATAGATTAATTTACTGTAATCCTGCCTGAAAGAATTTCAAGTGCTGCGGCTACTGAGGATTCCAATTTGTTTTACTTTGCATAATCGTTATTGTTTAAATTTTGTGGATTTATTGTAGTTACTGGAAAATATGGTGTGTATATTTGTTTATTTTGTTCAATATGCTCATTTACTATGTTAAAATAACGTGTGTCCATGTCTGCTTCATTGTGTGTTTTAAAGGTTTTTCTCAATTGTTTTTAAAGGCTTTTTGATCATTTGTATATGCTATTTTGTTTTCATGATGTAAGCTTGAGTATATTTTATATACCTCTTTTGGTTATTTGCAAATCATTTCAGATGTGACCAAACGTTTTTATGGTCTGTGTGTTCATTTAGCTTTGAACAAAAATTGTTTGTTATTTTGTTTTAATTGTTTTATTTCGTTTCTTATTTTGTTTCTCAGAGTGTTTATTTGGGTTTTGATGTATGGATCTCTTGTGTTAATATTCTGTCTTCTGAGATGACTGCGTTCTTTTATCATGTTTATAATTTGGGTGTGAGGTTTCCATTTATTTTAAGTAGTGTTTTGTTTTTCGGGTTTTGTTTTGAATTTCGCGCAAAGCTACATGAGGGCTATCTGCGGTAGCCGTTGCTAATTTAGCAGTGTTTGTTTGTTTGAACTTAAGCACAAAGCTACACAATGGGCTCTCATTGCTTTGCCTACTACAGATATCGAAACCCGGTTTCTAGCGTTGTAATTCAGAAGACATC